ATATTTCCCATATATAAAAAAATGTAGACATTGACTTCAAACTGCATCTCAACAAAGGGCATATTAAATCAGGAGACACGTCTTCTTCAATGCCTAATTCTAAGTGTGAAAAGTACCGAAAGATTACAAGGTTTGTCCGGAAAGTAATAGGACTGATTTTCTTCAGCCGCGACTGTACTTCGGAGCGTGCGCGCACCGACTGGATTCGGAAGAGGGCATTCCTAGCTAACGAACGAGCGGCTGGTGAGTTGTGTCCGAGCACCTGGAGAGCTTTTTCGCGCGACGTGTTTCTGTGAATGGTGCAAGCCGAAAATGCAGCGTTCGTTAGAGCAGAGGTACGCGATTAAATTCTGTGTGAAACTCAGTAAATCTGCGACAGAGAAGTTTGATATGATCAAGCAGGCTTACCCAAATGTTGCTTTAGCAAGAAGTGGTGTGTTTCGGTGGCACCAGGCCTTTTCAGAGGGCCGGGAGGAAATTCATTTATATGTTGCGTTTCAATCCAATCTGATATCGCAGTCGAGTCTTGGGCGATAACTTATTTTAGTTATTGGTTATCAATAACAAAAAATACCGATAAATCGACATATCGATAACAATATTACCAACTAAAAACTGATAATTATCGATATCTGATTCGATATATGGACAACTATTGATATATCTGTTTATCTATATCTATATATCGTATATAAAAGAAAGTCGTGTTAGTTACTTCACTTATAACTCAAGAACGGCTGAACCGATTTGGCTGAAAATTGGTGGGGAGGTAGCTTACAGCCGGGAGAAGGACATAGGATAGTTTTTATCACGTTCCACGAGAAAAACGTGGTATATGTAAACGCAACTGACATGGAATGACAAAACGCAAATGACAGCAAAACGAAAAATTTATAAATCAAATCATCAGTCTAGCCGTTCATTTGTTAAAAATGGTATAACAAAACGCAACTGACAACTAAATGCAATGTTGTCTAGGTTAAGTATGGTGTTTTATTGATAGTCAGATTTACCTGAAACTTGGCTTTAATGCCTTTTCATATAAAACTAGTGACATACATACTTGTTTCAACATTTTACAAAATTCTACCTTTATAGGAAGCTAAAAGGGGTTTGCTAAGATTGCATGTTTGTTTTTGGTCCAATTTACTTGAAACTGCTTAAAAAGTTAATAAATTCAATCTCTGTTGGGTGGGTTGAGTGGTGAAGAGAAGTTGCAATGTTTGAATGGAGCATACATTATTTGTGGTCAGATTTACTTGAAACTTGGTCTTAATGGTCTCTCATGTAATTTCTGAAAGATATTTCGACATTTTAAAAAATTCAACCTCCCAAGGGCGGGGGGAGGGTAAAAAGGTGTTGCAATTTTTGTTTGGAACATACTTCATTTGTGGTTGAATTTACTTGAAACTTGGTATATATGATGTTTGATATTATTAATCAAATAATGAAAAGAGGTTGCAACGTTTCCATGGGATATATTTCATATGTACTCACATTTACTCGAAGGTTGCTCATTGTTGAAATTAAGCAAATACGTGTTTTGGCAATTTTTAAAAATCAACCCTTAAGGATGAAATGTTGTTTCTACGTTTGCATTTAAAATCTAAGATTGCGACATTACATAAAATTTAAACGTTGTAAGGGTGAATTGGGAGTTAAAAGGCTTTATGGAGAAACAATACTAATTTCTGCGAGCGAAGCCGCGGGGAAACGCTAGTTTGATATCTATCGATACACTGATAACTATAAGCAACTGAATAACTATCGATATATGTATGTGCATACATAGGTAAATAATTTTTAATTCATAGTAGATATTGCTGTTTTATTAAGGTATTTCAAAAAAAAATTAACTATACTTTTTTTGAAGAACATTGAATTAAAATTTGAACCTAAATATTACTATTTACAGGTAGTATGTTGCAATTTTCTATTTCCTATTTAAATAACATAGGAAGTTTTATTTTTATCAGTATATCGATACATATTCAT